TTCCAATGTGAAAGAACTGGATTGCGCGAGAACATCAAGAACTGTTTGGATGATATTAAAAGTGTGATCGATGTTATGAACGTTCTAAAACGAATTGGTGTGCTAAACTCGATTTAAGAAATAGTAGTAAATTCTTGTTCAAGTTTAATATGTCACGAAAAAACTGTATAACATTATAATAAAACTACTTATATATAAGTAGCAAATTGTAAAACACAAATGTAATATGTAACAGTAAAATCTACCTAAAATCGCTAACGACTTAGCAGTTCATGAGACTATAAAGAAATGAAAAACAACAACAAAAAGAACATGGATTCTGACGACAGAACATGTGAAAGGAAGTAATTTACTATGTAGAGGAGAAGATTTATCCACTTTTTCGATACCAAAGTCCAGCAATAGGAGTTTTTCTGTCAAGCATTCGCCATTTTTCAGAGCACGATTACGATACTTTCTCTTCTTATGAAGTAAGGCAAGAAAGAAAATTGGTTTCTCATTGTAATTTGGATCACAAAACTAGATGTGGTGGGTTAAACTTAACAGCCCATAAGCGCGGATTTGTCACAGGTACAACGAGTACTATGAAAATTAATGAAAATTTGAAGATTATTTCTACAATAAGCAGGAATAATATATCTTTCGTCTTTATAATGATAATCTTGGAGACAGTACTATTACTGTTCCAGGTTATATAGAACAAACTGCCAATTTTCAAAAGTGGTAAAAAATTAAATCTTCCAATATGCAATGTAGAAACATTGAAGAAAGTTTAATGAAACAAAGAGAAAGCATTACATCACCGTCACAGAGTTTGTAACTAACTTCAAAATGATTAGAGAAATGAAGAGAATAAACATTGTCATCTCAAAGTGATTATCCACTCGGATCCATTCTATTGTTCGGCGAACCAACCTTCGCGAGGATAATTTTGAAACGACGAATTTAATTATAGGACAATGACTTTCATTAGAGGATTGAGGACATTCAAGAAAATTGGAAATTACAGTTCGCCCAGTAGATTGCGTTCAATCCAAGTGAACGTTATTACTCAAAGAGAATACATTTCCCTTAAAAGGCAGGTAGTATGTAATAGTATCATGTTGTCAACAAAGGGTAAAGAATTTGTGAATGGCATTATACATGCTTTACGCAAACTACTGCGTGCAACTTATGTGTAATAATACTAGTAATAATAGTAATATAAATAATAACAAAACTGGGTGTGCTACAAAAGCTCATAAATTCTTGTATTACTGGTAAATTTTCAACTTCTATCCTTCTATATCACTTTAATCAACAATTGAAAATACCTATAACCCACAATAGTTTCAAAATCAATAACTTTATTTTGTTGGATTTAAAATTTTAAATACAAATCGTTTTCTCCAATTGAGGCGATTTTATTATGATCTATTAATTTTTTCAGCGCCCTTTGGAGGCATCCTGCGACCAGTGGAGGCCCAATTAATGTCACTGCAGTCTCTAACCGGGAGGTCCTACAATTCGAGTTCTCATTTGTAGGTCCGTCTTTTAGGTCGGTTGCCGGATTTTGCCGTCCAGCTGGGAGAAATCGCCGCCAGTTCCCGCCTAAATACATGCCTTCAGTCACGTAACTAATGACCTTAGCGTCAGTTGACGCGGACGGAAATGATTACGCTGATTAATCAATAAGTATCCTTTGCTCTATCTGAAGAAAACAAACACTAGGAACCATTTTCGAAAAATTGTAGTTAAAAAACTGTATTAACTTCAATCATAAATTACACAAAAACCACTCTCTTATTTCAAAAGAATGTACGTGACCCAAGATCAAATTTGATTTCAAACTTGAAAAATCTTTACCATCAATAGTGTACTTTTGCAATTTTCTAAAAATATCAAGAATTCACCAAAAATTGGACAGAACCATTTTTAGAGTCTTTTGGGGGAAACGTTTGAAAGAAATAACTTGGAGACTTTTTTAGTTAACTGTTTGCTCATTGATTCTATTTTACGCAAAATCACCCGCACACTACTAATATTTTTGAAACATTGTTTGTGACCTTATTTGAAGATGTCTTTCACAAAAAGATCTTTTGAAGGAATAATATGATTATTTGTGTGTTAATATTGGAATTGTAGGAAGACGTCGAAAAAAGTTTTAATTTTGCATTTTCGTAAATTTAGGTATGTGAACGAAAATGAGAACTGCGGCATTTTGAAGCACTGTTTGCGTTAACCGAGGGACAAGTTCAATCGAAAAATTTGGTGCTGTGTTTCGAGAAAATTTTGAAACTGTAATTCGGATTTCAAGTAAAGTACCCACAAAAATGGATATTTCCGTTTCAAAATCGCAGAATCTTGAGTTCGCCTAGATCAGAGGTGTCCAACTTTCAAGCCCTCAAGAACCACAACTAAAACCTCTAATATGGTTGCGGGCCGCACTTTGCCCGGCTGCTCTGAAACGTGGGGGGGGGGCCTCCGTGATATCAGGCCATGCAAAAGGAGTGAAACACTTTGGGGTGATTTTGAATTTTTAAATTTACTAGAAACAAATCTGAAATCTAAATTAACCTATTTTTACATTAAGGGGGTGTTGACCTCTTCAAGGCGCATGCGCTAGGCACACAATCCTCACACCCGACATGGATGCAAGGGACATTCACTTTTGACTAATAACCTTTCATGGGCCACAAGAAAAGACACCGCGGGCCTCATGCGGCCCGCGGGCTGCCAGTTGGACAACCCTGGTCTAGATCGATCGAGAAGAATCAATTAATTTGTCGCATTATTTAAATAGCAGTGGACTTGTGCTAGGGAGTGCTAAAGAGCAACTGTGGCACATAACGAACAGAGGCGACCCTAGTGGCACCTGCTGCAAGCTCTCGGCTTCTCAGAAATCTCGCTCTTCAGGGATGAAAGGATACAGCTCGGAATGCATTTGTACTTCAACGCTAGCTTTATGAGAAGAAGCGACAGTATGAACAACGTTTTTAAAGTAAGTTTCGTTTCGACAAAAGACTCCTAAAATTTTATTTTTCAAAACAAAATTTATTTCTACATGAAACAACATTTCTCAAACTATTTTTCTAAGTAGTTGTCACCATTGTTCAGCCGTCTCCTTAGAAAGATCGCGTCAGTGACAGCCTCTACTGAACATCGTTTTTTGCGGAAACGGTGCTGCGATTTGCGAAAAACTAATCACAAAACATTTTTATTGTGAGCCATCTGTTTTCAAGAATTTTGTCGTTCACTATTTCAATAAACACATTGACAACGGCCGCCTATGCTCCGTCCGTGCTTTGCATGGACATTAAAATTGCATTAAAATAGGTTCGTCTATCATTGAATTGTCTATTCTATTTTCTCATCAATACATCACTCATACATTTTCACCATAAATATCTCCAAGTTGGTGGAGAATTCCAGATAGCTTAACATTCTTTGCGATCAAAAACGATGTTCAGAAGTGGCTGTGAGCGGCTTCTTTCTACGAAGGAGGAAGAGAAGTTGGCTTCCCGCTGTGACCAATGTCTGAACAATGGTGGCAACAATGTAGACAAATAGTTTAAAAAATGCTCTTTCATGTAAAAATAAATTTTGTTTTGAAAAACATTTTTTATGATTTCTTTGAAACACTCCTCATATTTGTGTATTTTGCGTATTTGTCTTCATTAAATATCCAACAAAACATTTTTTTTCTTTTTAAGTTATGGGTAGAGTGCTACCAGATACATCAATCGTATTCACTAATATATTGTCAATCTCTCTTTACTATGTGATTTTTGAGTGAATGGATGTTAGAAATTACATATTTCATTGTATCTTTTTAACACTTGAACTGCATTTAATAATTTTTTACTACAAACGAAAATGGCTACAGAGGAAATGGAGAATTTCACGTCGTAATCTTGACTTCTATTGGACACATGTCAGCTGAGAATGCACAAGAGGTTGAATTAAATGTCTGAATGCTTTAAAATTGTTTGTATTGAAGTAAATCATGATTCATACTATCCTCGTTGAAGCATGTAGAAGTTCATTTGAACGTGATTTTTCTTTATCCTACATGATTGGTATGTAATAACATGTAGCCCCTAAGGAAAGTTTTCTCGTAAGTGAAATGGGGCTGAAAGGAAGGTTAATGGAAGTCATGGAAGCGTAAGTGATTGTAAAGTGTTGCCGAACCCAAACATACACCTGCCTCGGTAAACAAGTCGTTTAGATTTTAGATTAGATTACACAACCTTCGTATTAATAATTTTGCAATTACATGTTGGAACTCGGGTTTGAATAGTTAAAGAGTCTCAAATGATATTGAAAGAACATACCAAAGGATATACATAGATACAATTAAAAATCTGAAATATTAAGTCACATTACAGGATAATTTAGAAAAAATCACCTACTCAAAAAGGACGTCATCAACCTTAAGAGCAATATAATTAATTTTTTGACAAGTGTAGATAAAATTATTTTTGAAGCGTAACTTTTATATTGTGAATGAATGTCGCATGACCCTGCACATCACATACCATTTTCGACTACTCAAATTAAATCATATTGATACAAAACGCTGTACTCTGATTAAAATGTAGTGTTCCTGTAAGGTCACGATCAGGAAGGAGAGGGGGACACTGTCATCCAACCGGGAGCTTCATTAGCTTCACTGGTCATTGGCGATCACTAGTGCATTTAACGGTATGGTAACTATGCAGATGACATGATATGGTGAAAGGACAAACACAAATACAACCATGGCCGAGGCGGGTCTGGAACCTGCGACCCTTCGGTTCAAGATCGCTACGGCACTACTGCCTTAGCGATCTCGGCCATACGGACCGGCAACTAATGTTTTTGGTAATGAACATCGCGATTGGATGACAGTACCACCCCCTCACCTTTCAGGTCGTAACATTAAAAAGGCAAACGCCTTGGCTGCCGTGAGAAGCATAAGGTGATGCTCACTGAATTGATCAGTATGACTTTGAGCATTGAAAGTTGCTACCGGGACGGGTTCAGGAGGCCGGCGACTCACCGTGCGCGGGGAGCTGCGGGGGCGGCGCGCGCGCGGCGGTGAGGCGCTGCACCTCCGCGTCGTCCTCGTCGTCGCCCTTGTCCTCGTCCTCCTCCTCGGCGTCGTCCAGCACCTCGAAGGCCAGCTCGCCCGGGTGGCTGCGCGTGCGCGAGGCCATGGGGCTGGCGTCCACCATGGGCGTCAGCTTGCGCACGCACTGCGCGGGGGCGGGCNNNCCGCCATCACCTTCGTCTTCGTTCGCTTCCCATAGACCTGCGCACACAAAGGGCGAACACGGGGTCAAATGAATTGTCCATTCATGCGATATCTTCACAAGTAATTTCACCTGCGGTTTGAAACGTTCGCGTAGAGACGAGCGGATTTATCTGATTTGTTTCAAACCGTATGTGGAATTCAATTACACTAATTCATAAATAAAAGTCGATATAAACAATAATAAAAAAGACGATATAATCATGTATAAATATCGATTAAATAGTTTGAACTTATTCGTAAAAATAGCGACAAATATTTCTTGGTTAGTTGTTTCAGAAGTCAAAATATATTACTGCAGTTTTTGTTATAAATGGAATAACTTGTAATAAATGAAAAACATACGAACAGTTTTGCCTCGGAACTTATTAAACATTATTAAACGTTAATTTCAACTGAATATGGAGAAAACAAAACTGTGAGAAATGCTAGAGGATGAATGAATGTTCTTATGTGCACTTTTCCGTTCTTTCATAAGTATGCAAATTCCATTTTCAACCGAATGTGACCCACACCTTATGTCTATTAAACGTAACACCTTATTCACATAAACATACAAAACAGTCGTCTTTTAATGTTAGCTTTGCGTGCAACATTATATTCGCAATATTATATTAGCAATTGCAGAAATAGAAGTGAACACAAATTAGACTGATTGTGTGAAGGTTTAATCTCTTCAAAATTTAGGACAGAAAATATGGAAGTGTTAAGGAAATCCGGGGGAAGAATTAAATGTAGTTGTAAAAGATGTTGCGACAGAATTGTCGGAACTAATTGGGAATGATCTGCATTTTTACATTTATCATTTGTGCTAATGTGCTGTATGTATTTTTGTGCATATTACAAAAATGGCGTAAAAACGTAACTGTACTAAAATTTAACTATTAGCATAAAACCTGCAAATATTTGTTACGGCAATTATAATTTTTAAATTGCAAAGAGACCAGTTCATATCCCGTATGGAGGTAACACACAAGGACATTGGGTGTTGGCAACTTTGGAACGGGAGTATAACATTGTCAGCTACTACCATTCCTTGGTAAGTCCAATGACAGATACTGAAAAAACAAGTTTGAACAAAGCTGAGCATGAAAGAAATTTTCAACACAAGAAACTATTTTTAAATCAGTTAACGTTGTCCGAGACTCCACATTTTATTAGTAAAACGTAATTGGCAGGATTGAAATTAATAATTGGTGAATGGAATAGTCACACTAAGAATGACATTTATAGAAACAGGTTCAGGCGCACCAACACCCTCTTTGTTTGTAGCTTAGTTTTTATGTGTGTGCGTTAAACGTTTCGTTATTGCAAATATTTATTGTACCATTATAAATTTCCTTGTGTAAATAAAAAAAAAGTAATACATTTAGAGTGTAATGATTGAAGATTTCATAGTTCAGCCAATGAATTGTAGGAGCTGATAATGTTATACTCCTGCTCAAAAGTTCCCAACACCGAATGGCTTGTGTGTTACCACCATATGGGATATTAACTGGTCTCTTTGCAATTTGAAACTTATAATCGTCGTAACAAATATTTGCAGTTCTTCATACTAGTACTATCCTAATTGCAACCACACTGAAACCAAATTATAAACAAAATCACTTATATGGGCATTATTTCGTTCGAAGCGCACAGATAAATTGATAAGACTAGCAGCTATCGCAGCTCACAGCTAGCCTGTGCACCCGAACGAGCTCATCCAGTCTCAAGGCGGATCAGAGATGTGCAAAGGGCAATTCGAGCGTCAAATGTGTAAATGATTTTATTCACTTTTTATAGTAACTTCCTATTTGATTCAGCAAACTAAAACTTGCTTATAGACAACAATGGGATCACTCAATATGAAAAAACTCATTTTCATACGACACGTCAAACAAATCCCTGGAGATAAAATATTGAGATACTTTACACAAGAAACATGGAGCTTTGTAGTCACAAATTCAATTTTTATTAATAATTTCAATTGGTAAGGACATCACTGAAAGCGATGAAGAGACGTTCCGACTTGACAAGTCAGATCATGCCATTGCTATTCTTACACGAATCAAATTAGAAATCGGAAGTTGCTCTAATTAGTGTGATCAGCGGCAAACTCAGTTATTCAGGGACCAAATTTCTGGCATATTTGCCATCATAAAAATTTTAGCCTTTCTTTAGCCAAAGATGAATGGCATGAGACTACAAGCTTTATTTACTTATTCATAATTATATACCGCCTTTTCTATGAGCTATGATATTGAACTAATGTAACTTTAGACTTTGTTGAAAGAGAAGTTAGAGTGTGATACTATTTGAAAGGAACGAGCTGCATATATTGTACGGTTAAAACAATGTTCCAGCGAACGCTGATAATATCTAAAAAATAATAAATGTAAAAGTGTTCCGGGATTGCGGGACTACGTTGGCACTCTAAGGTGTACTCATTACAGTTAGCAGTCCTTTCTATTCCTCTTGCTTAATTTTACAGATAGTTAAATAAATTATTATGCACTCTGAGGTCCTAAGAAAAAAAGTTTAGCAAATAAATAGAAGATACGAGATAACGATAAAGGCCTATACACATACAAACATAACCATACCTAATAAAACATAAAAACATATATACATACATATACACAAGCATGGCGTTAAGAAGTTAGAACTACGTCCATAAGCGGACTCATTCCCAATGCGTTCAGATAAGCATAACACGTAAGACGTTAACTTAAAAGCTTGCAAGCGTCAAGCTTCTCTGCTTATGCTTATGTAAGACACAAGAAATGAACCAATCACAGAACGGTAACTCAAAATCGAGAATCGAAATTAGAGTTAACTCGATAGAAGTACTAACGCCATATGGGCCATAGACATAGTAGATATCTTGAAATCGATTCTCACATTCAATCACTAGTAAAACAGGATGTATCACAGCCAATAGAAACTCTTATATTGATTACGTTTATGTTACGCGTTGTGAATGCTTCAGTCTATCACTTATGATAATGATTATGTCTTTGCGCTATGCTTATGTTTGCGTTTGCATTGTGAATGGGCCTTATGCGAGTCGCATTTACACTCGCCAACGTTTCATGTAATCGGAGAACATCCGTTAGTAAACCGTTTAAATTTAAAATATTAACTCATTCACTCTAAACGTTTGCAATACATAGTGGTCGTTAAAATTCGTTTTGTAACCTCTTGCCGTAACCTCACTTGCCTTTTATGCAACGATTAAAATGTTTCTACGTTATTTTAAGTTCTGATCAGTAGGAAATATCGTTAACGAACCATGAACAAGAGCCACGAAGCTATCATCATTATGTATCTAAGGCTAGGAAAATTAAGAAGACATTTATAGATTAGACGTGCTTCAAACAGCTGAAGTAATAGAGCGTTTGAAAGTCGGGAAATGCCCATTTTTGGTATATAAGGTTTATTCGTTGCCGTTCTTGAGCCAAATGAATGAGACAAACATTTTATGACGACACCGTGAACTAGTGTGGACAGCTGCGGATATTTTCGAATACCTTTATTTATCCTATTCCAAACGGAAGCCTTTTCTTTTTGTCTTCTATGGATAATATATTTAATATGTTATTTTTAAACGTCATTTTAGTTTATAAATACAACTAACACAGTGTGTGTTGTTTCTAATGGTAAAATATCTTAATTGTGTAAACGTCCCTGTATGTAAAGTAAATTAAGATTTCCAAATGAAAGCTCTGTTTTATAATATACTTGTAACTAGTTATTACGTGAATGCAGAGGTTTTTTAATATTTATGAAGAATACGCTCAATAATTCAGAAGAGTGTCAGAAGTGTACAACACTTTATTAAGTGAATCCACAACAAGCAACAAAACAAAAAGGAAATACTTTTTGAAAACAAAATAAATAATTCATATTCACTTTAAAGAGTAACAACCAAAATTATTGTTACTAACCGAAGCCTGTACCAGTTCTTTGTTCTGTTTTAAAACAAATGTGTCTAATTGTCTAAACTTACTTCTCTTAACTACTTCCCTGAAGTCATACAGACTTTAAATTAATTCTTCTAAAAAAATAAAATTAAAAACGTTTCCGAAACACTTGAAAATAAGACTGAGACTTGCAGTTGAGAACTGGTATTTATTAACAGTAGTTCTACGGTAAAAAGTACAAGGCTGGATTAATCTCGCGCTATCAAAAGACGCGATGATGTCGATATTATTAGGAAATATTGAAGCCAGTGCTTCAGTCGTTCCGGGAAATATTGATTCGCGTTGAACGACACTGGAAAATCCCACATCTCTGTTTACATTCGGCTTAGCGCTCAATCAGGGAAGCTTCTCGGAGCCTCCTGCTCGCAAAGAATAAATCACTTCTCGGAACATGAATATCTAATTTTGGGTTTGTTTTCGCATTGTAATATAAAACCGGCCACGCGCATTGTGCAATATTTCTCTTCCATGCCATACACGTTTCCCTGTCAAAGGAAGTCACTTTCTGTGCCTCTGAAATACTTGAGGTTTACGCCGCCACAGCTTGCAGAAAGAAAGAACACTTCAATTAATTACATTTGATCATTTGTGAAAGGTTATTGCAGCTAATGGTCGAGTACTTCGGTTTTATGTAAAACGTTTCTCTCAATAAGGACATTTCTAAATTGAAGATGTTTAATATTTTCCCAACATAAAATTGCACTGGAAATTCTTAATTTTATATATATATATATATATATATATATATATATATATATATATATTTGTCGCTAATATATGACAAATTGTATTGTGTATATTCGGTCGTGCGGGTAACCGGGACCCAAACGATTTCGGACGGGCGGTGCAAAGTGGGCAATCTCGTCCTTATGCAAATGGGTAACCGCATTCACTCCGGTATCCCTTTCATTCGTATGAATACCGGTACCTGTATTGTTTGGGATCCGGTAACATACGGGTTTCCTGCACCATTCTGGATTTTGATATAGAATAACGCTTCAATCGGAAAAGTAAGAAAGGAAATAAATCGAGAAAAGATAGTTGAGTCTCTCCTCTTGTAATCCGTTTTTGCTTTCCTGAATGTTAGCGGAAACGTGCAGAGCTGAGCACAAGCGCATTCTGACTCCGGTTTCATTCGTCGACTGGTGTTGGAATTAACTGCATTGGAACTAACCGCAGAGGGTGTGCGCTAGTCGCTGCACTCCCACGCAGGACGACTGTTCCATCTATCAGACGTTGCTCAGAGCGGGTCATGGAGTGTCTATGCCAGTAAGACTGTAATTATTGGCCTAAAGTAGAATCGTAGTTTTTGTTTCGGCTGTATTGCTTATCGAACGATAATAGTTTTCATTTCTGTTGTTATTATTGAGACCTCTTTGTCCCTCTGCGTCCTAATCTTATCCCAAGCATCCATTCTGATTTCACATCTACTCCAAAATAACTAAAAACATGATACTAAAATGAGATACTTTCATGTCGTGATGCAAAAGCAAATGTGACAATAAATCGCAAATACGCAAAGAACACAACTATGTTCAGGTGTCCAAAGTGCACATGAAAACTGTACGAACATTTTGTTTTTACCTGTATTTCATACTCGACACGGACTAAATAACACTCTGGTATGAAAAGAGGTTATATAATTGTAATTACGGAATATAATTGAAAACATTTCTATTTCCTATTACACAATTTATATTTTTACGTGTCATAGTTATTCCAAATGATTTAAAGTAACACAATCAGGTTAAATCCCTACCTCATGCACGGAATTTATCTTACGCACGGTAGTATGAAAAATCCAGGCGCGCCCGCTCCAGGGATAGCACAGTTTCTTGAGAAAATACCTCATGGACTTCAAGAACGAAGAGAGGTTCACTAATCAGAATTAGTCTTTTGAAACGAAATGATATATTTTGAGTCCAAAACATAGTTCAATCTGTCACACTAGTTGGCAGCCTATAAAACGCTGGTTCAATTGGTTGAGGCAACCCACCAATGCATTTCCTTATGCAACAAAAAAGGTCTCGACACACAAGACTAATTCTATTTGTTGCTTCATGAATTATCTTAGTAGGAACCACCAATAGGATTTTATCTAATATTTAAATATTATATAAAATTCTTAATCATGTCCCAAACATTTCGTCACATTCAAATTTCACAAGAAAATTAATTTAGCTAATAAACGGGAATGGTTCTTTTTCTTAACTACCGTCCATCTCAATAGTACGTTTGCAAAGGAGATCACGAACCAGATCATAAAGATACCCGTTACATCGTTCGACTCATTTCGTACGGGTAAGACACGCATACGAATACAGGTTTTAATAGAGGTGTGTCGGACGCGCAATTTTCTGACTTGACCGGGCGCGTTTGCATTTGCGGGTGTCTGCGAATCTCCAATCGGTCGTATCTAAGGGTTCCAGAAATCACGACCTCATGGATGCCAATACTCTAAAGAAGAAACCACAGTCCTTGCGCGACTCATCTTTCTCCATTCTGTGTCCTTGTAGATCTTCAAGGTCAACCAATCGGCATATCCTCCGTATCCCAGTGATCACGCCCGATGATGTATGTGAGACGTGGATCTGATCGTATCCGATGCATCAGTGACTCGTAGTGTTCTCTGGTTACAAGTATCAAAGACACCACATACACAACTACGCAGGTTCCAGTCAAACCGCCCTTCGCTGTCCGAGGGCGAAAACTTATTAGGGGCGGACACCTGCCCTAGCTGATGACGGAAACGATGACGAGCCACACCCTCATGCTTTCGCATGCAAATGAGCCGGCCCCCAAACTTCCACGGGGCGGCCACCTCTACGCGCCCAGCGCAAGCCAAACTCGGGTCACGTGGCGAAAAACTCAGAATTTTAATTTTGTTTTGGAAGCTGAGGTTACTCTGCGGCCTTTCAGAGAGATATCCTTCCCTTCAAAGCGGGAATCAGGTCCCGCCTTTCGACTCTCGTCCTTTCTACCTTCTCGTCATTCTACACTCTCGACATTCTACGCTCTCGTCATTCTTCATTCTCGTCATTCTACATTCCACATTCTCGTCATTCTACATTCCACATTCTCGTCATTCTGCATTCCACATTCTCGTCATTCTACATTCCACATTCTCGTCATTCTGCATTCCACATTCTCGTCATTCACGCCCTGTGTGACCATCGTTGTACGCACGTTACTCGCAAACCCCTCCTCATAAAGCCACTCTTGCCTTATCCATCCCACCCCTAATTGACCTCCAATCCATTACTCCTCTCTAAATCCGGCTCTCATCACCAGACGCCTATCTTCGATTTTTCAACACCATTCTGATTATATGAACCACTTTCTCACCCCTTTTACGCATACCTCATCACGCAACCCAGAGATGAAATCTTTCGCCCCTAAATCCTGTTGTCGATCACTCAACGGCATATGCGTTCCATTTTCATTCGTTTACCTTGAAAACCGTGCTCTTGCGCTGAACACTGGCCATCTTACATGTATTGGGTTTCAATCTTTCAACCTCCATTCTGGTACTTCAATCTCACCACTTTATTTCAAATTTGCCCTCATTCTTTAAACTATCTGCTGGTCACGGCAGACTGTCACCATCGCTTGAAACTGGTTCCTACGCGACTCGGCACTCTCCATTCAAACCTAGCCATCAGTCTGGGATAATCGTCTCCCCTCCGCCACCTCCCATATTTGTTCCCACTTCCGCCCTTCATTTCCGCTTCACTTCTCTTCTCTTCCTAATCCTTTTCACTTGACGTGCATATCACTCTTTTAGAAACGCCTTTACTTCTCCGCACCTAGACTGCCATTGTCCCGGACCAAAAACAATGTACATTCTTGACACCGTAGCGCTATTCCCTCACCTAAACTATTGTTTCTTTTATTGCAAAAAAATTATCACTTGTCTCTTTAAATGTGTTTTTGTGTGTCCTCAACCTGAACCTTTTTCTCGAGGAACTGTCTCGTGTCATCTTCTTCCTATCACCTCACCTCGCCCCTCTTCGCTTGAACGCTGACCCAGCCTCATTTCCCTGCCCTGCCCTGCGGAATTCAATCAGTTTCCGGCACGTGCATTCCAATGACGCCGCGCGCCTCAAAGCCCCGGCCAAATTGGAAATAAATAATTCATGGCGGCGAAGTGCCCTATAGTTTATTAAAATGCGATTACGAATGTCAGCTGGGGAGAGTGGTCGTCATGAGAATGGAAGGTTGCTGGACAATTTCCTGTCGTTAAGATGTTGTCTCGTTTATAAATGGTGCAAAATATTGAAAAAGACTGATGCAAAAAATAAAAAGCAGAACTATTATTTTGAGTAAAAATCTATTTGTTGTAGTGCAGTGTTTTTCATTTTCATTGACGATTTAATATTATTTTTTTAATTTATTTATTTATGTTCACTACAAAACAACTCAGTTCATGAGCGACCCCTGATATTTATACAATATTAATTCCAACTAGGTAAGTTATATCACAGTATAATTAATAGGGAAACGTGCACCAGTTCCAAAAAGTGCAAAGTTAAAAAATGTGCACTTTGGGCGCTAACCTGTATATCTTTATGTCTAATTTGTAAAATATTATTCAAAATTCATATTTTACTCACCATAATTCCAACATTTTTGATACTAGACAACACTTTTAATTTACCATATTTAATTATTAGAAAGTTTCTACCTCACCAGCGATTCAAATAAAAGTACCTACAATTTCAATTTTGAATAATTGCACTTTTTCTTTAGAAAATATTTCTGAACAGCTCTTGAAGGCATGGCAATTACACTATGTGTATACAGAACTACGTAGATTTCTGCGTAATACATTTAAGATAATATTATTGCCTATCACAATTAAGTTCTTTAGATACCTAAGCAATCGTTCAATCAAAATTTTGGTAATGAAAGTGACACCAATAGCCGTGTGGATCAAAGTTAAAATTTAAATATTAATTTCTTAACGAAATAAAATAATAAGCTGATTATTTTGTCACCTGTGAAAAAACAAAAACGATGTACTAATTATCCCTTCAGTATTTAAAGACAACTCTGCATCAGTTTATCAAATTTTGAGGCATACTCTCGAAATGTGAATGTGACCTCTGCCCTTGAGAGCCCCACACCCCCAGCCAGGTTGGTCCAGGTCGCAGCTGTCAAAATGGCTAACGTGCTATTGCAATTTATTGCACTCGGCCCTACATTTATCAATATATTTTGCAATACGTTTATATATCCTCTTCAAGAGCAAATAAAATGACTGATCACCAGCGACGTGCACATTCGTATTCTTTGTGCTTCAGTTCTTTGCGGTCTTAATAGCATTTTTCTAACGCAGATTTCATTGTGAAACTATTTCATTCGAAACAAGAGGAAATAAGTATTTCTACCTCAAAATAAGAGTATGTAGAAATATTATTAAAATATTGAAATATACAAATAAATCATAGCAGAGGCGATTAGAAACAAAAATGCTGATGAAAAAATCCAAATAAAATGATTTTGCGAATATTAGCACATACACCGCTCAACAACAACAAATAAAATACTCTCGTGTTTAAAGTACTCTGCTCCAACAATTAATATTTTCACAAAAAGCGGCCTCACAAATACTGCAATGACATACTACAGTATATATGGATTCGATGTACAACAGTTCTTTACATACCACGAATATACAAAAAAAAATGCTGTTCCATAACGCAATTCGTGAACACCAAATTTGATGGGGATGGGCTCTTCCTGTGAATCTTGCTGACGCATTACGTCAAAATGTTGTAAGCATGACGCACCTCCAATAGGAAAGTGACTCAAGTGCGAATTTCTGATTTTAAGTTTCGTAGTTCTATAATACTCGTTATAGAGTGTACCAAATATTCACCTTCTAGCGGACAAGTAATTGAAATAATTCAAAATCAACTTAAAAAAGTAGCAATATCTCTTGGTAACCTCTTATCAGCTATTGGCTGAAAAATGACGATATCGCAATTGTGTCACTTTTCTATTGGAGGCGCAATATTTCAATCGTATGTGTAGTATGAGAATAGGAATAGAAAAAACAACCAAATATTTGCATTCTTCGGTCAAAATTAAAACTTTTTATTTGTATTTTTCCCGAGTTCTTAAGTATCTGACGAAATAATTGACAACTCGCTCTTGGCCGCAAGCTGGGTATTTTCATTCAATTTCAGCGCGGATAGAAAATGAGTAATAGAGATTTTTTTGTATTTATTTTATTCATAAGATTAAAGACATTTTTTATTGTCAATAATATGCTGTTACAGTACGTTTCAATCTTCCATGGGTGTTAAATCGTGTTTTTATAATTACTCTTGTGCGAATCGCGGTCTCGCGGGCTGCAGGCATCTAATTTCTACTACTAGTTGAAGTTGTTTATAATTCAGTTGAAAGAATGTGGTGTTGTGCAATACAAATGCTAGCTGTTGGTTGCATACAACGTGCCATTTTGCAGAGACTTCGATTAGTTTATGAGAGCGCCATTGATTTCATTACTGCTTCGCGAGTAACCATTCTATACAATGAGTGGAAACTGTTACTCTCAATTCTCAGAATCACCAACCCTTTCCCAATTTAG